GAGAGTGAGTATGAAATTGAATGAATCTGACAGAAAGGGATTTGACAAATATATAGAGATGAAAATAACCTTTCTGGAGGAGTTGTGTATTCTTCAGGGGAAGTTATAACTTTTCACGTTGAAATATAACTGTTCATATCTTTTTAGAATTAATTAATTAATTATATTATATTATTTCCTTTATTAATTAATTAACTTATTTCACTACAATCATATGTATATTAGTACACCAATGTTATGGTGTACCTTCACGTATGATTACACATATTGTGAAAACCATGTTATCATAATCATATTCCAACGGAAAAAGGTTTGCCGTACGTGTTTGGGTTTGTAGTTTGGTTCATTTTTCATTTCTACATTCATCCAAAGTTTAGTGTAAATTTTTTTGTGACCAATTTGGTGGCTTGATTGGTAGTCAATATCTTAATTTAGCATACTCCAATTACATCGTCTTTTTCATTTTCCTTTTGGGTTGGGAATGAGTTCATAAATAACTGAAATAGAATGTAGAGTTGGCTATGTCAAAAGCGAGTTTATGAAATCATATTTTATTTTTGTTTGATTAGGTCATATCAAAGGAGTAGGATTTTCTCCTCTCCTATTCTCATCCTATTCCCTCCCCTTATTTCACACATTACTTTTTATCTGTATAAAAAATCAATATAAGATGTTGACGTGGCTTAACCGTGACCGTTCAAATAGGAGGGAAGGAAAGGGAGAAAGATTAAGAGGCGAGAGAATCCTCCTTCCATATCAAAAGCATAGCATTATAACTTTTTTGAACCACGAATTCTTCAAACTAAGCTTAACCAAAAAGAATTAACTATCGTAAACCCTACGTCCCCTACGGAAAAGGTTTCGCTAATGCGGTAAGCAGTGCTACAGCCATCCACTAGCATTACTTTTTTGGATTTGAATATATGAAGAATATGGGGGATAAAGGGGACGGGAGATATGCACGCTTGGAGAAATGACCGCTTAATTTGAGATTCTACCAAGAATGGGTTGTATAAGGTCAAGTCTGGTCATCACTAGGCAAGATCTTTGCACGGAACCCAGATGCATCGCCGACCCTCCTCTTCTAGCTCTATGTCGACACAGGTTTGGCAATCTATTTGGAAGTTACGAACTCCGCCTAAACTTCGTAATTTTATGTGGAGACTTGCTCATCGTGCACTGGCAACTTTGGAGAATTTATTTCATCGCAAATCTGCCCCATCACCTATCTGCTCAATATGTAATGAGGATGTGGAATCTGTTGAGCATCTCTTTTTGTTATGTCCTTGGATGGAACCCATTTGGTTTGAGGACGTCCTAAATGGCAGCTGGGAGGCCTATCCTACTTTAACAGTTATTGAACAGGTTGGGGAGGCTTTTCAGGATTGTTGTTGGTCTTGGGTTCCAAGGTCAGCCAATATGGCGTCGCATACCTTAGCGTCGTGTTGTAATATGGAGATGTACAATATCACTTGGGTCAGCAGACCCCCATCTTCGTTAGTTCATGTACTAAATAAAGATGACTTACCTTGTCCCCATTGATCCGTGGTTGGCAGTTGTAGGGGAGACACTTGAACTTGGTTCTAGTGTCTTTATCTTTATCGCCTCACTGCTTTGCGTTTTGTTGCTTTCTAGCATGTTGGTCTCTTTGTAGGCTTTCGTTGTACTTTGCTGGCTTATTTACCCTGGTAATACATTTCTAGTTTCCAAAAAAAAAAAAAAAGCTGTCATGGTCATGGTTTTGACATCTAAATAAGAGTTGCACATTGACTCGTGAATGAATGAAATTCAAACAAAGCCATTGATTCTTGATGAAGAGCAATAGTAGGGAAAAAAAGACACCAATGGAAGACAGGAAAGTTTGACAAAATACAAGAAAATTGTGTTCACTAAAAATAATAAGCCCAAAGTTCGAGATCAAATGTTTGTTTAAGAAAATTTTGTCCCCCACAGTTTATATGAATCTATTTTCCATACAAAAATTTACATACCTTTGTTAAATGAGATGCGTGTGTTTTATTTATTATACTGTATGAGTAGAAAAACTTTTATACATTTGTTACATGAGATGAACGTGTCTTATGTAATTATACTATATGAGTGCCACATGATCGAGAATGTGAAAATATTTAAATTGGTAAATAAAATATTTTCATTTCTCAATTGACAAGGCTATGAGCTTATTTAAAAGTATTTTTAAAATAGCTGAAAACGTTTAAAGTGAAAATATTTATAAAACCAGTCTTTAGTAAAAATGCAAATGCAAATGAATCTTGAAAAACTACATTTCAAGTATTTTTAGAATCTAAAAACACTTTTTTTTTTTTAAGAAGAAGAAGAAGTAAAATGCTCTCAGATATTTTGTTAGAGAATTATTATGTTATATATTATATGAGTAACAAATGCATATGACACGTCTATTTTGTTTACAAGTAAACGATAAATGAAAGTCAATGACTGATAAAGGTCTTGATTCCTACTAAAATTAACAAAAGCTCTTCCATGATCCATGATCTTCTTATACACCTTCAAACTTTTGACACTCAGCGGAATATACGTGCAGCTATAAAGGAGCATATCTTATCTGCAGGTATCAACCATTTCAACAACAAAGAATGGCTCATAACTGGATGACAACGAATATGTTTGATGTTGCATTCAAACATGAATGTCTAATATGTTTTGATATCATGAAAAAAAATGAAATTTTATCATAAATTTAATTAACAATATAAGAAATCAATTACTGATAAGCACATAAAAAGTTGAATAAACTTCCGAATGAAACTTTTCTTTACATTTGCATGGTCGTCAACCTGGTACTTGAGAAAATTAAAATACCTAAAGGCCATTTTGAACAGCTCAATCAAACCTTAGAAATCAACATGGATCAGAAAATTAGATCGACTTGGAATTAAGCTGTCAATGTTCAAACATTACCACATCCTTAGTTGTAAAATTTCTGTCTTCTTCCATTGTTCATGGATCCAGGACTAAATTAACACACAGTGGGTTCCCCACTTGTTTTTCTGAGACAAAAAAAATCCTAGGTAATGGGGTGCAACCATTGTTATTACCCAGATGGCCAACAATTTAGTACAACTTGTAGAGTCATAGATTAATTATTTATGTGACTTGGCAATGCGCCCCTGGCATCCTGGAGTAGCAGGTCATGTGAAAAGTACTATATTACCAATGGTCTGTATAAAACTATATGCTAAAAATAATCCACAAATTGATCCGACTACTGCCATAGTTCTTTTGTTTTGTTGTAGTCTCCTAGCCTTACTCCTTACCCAGCAAAATTATATTAGTTCTAGTTACTACTACTATTACTACTACAACTAATAATAATAATATAATATATTAGTCTCTAATTTAATCCAGTTCGATATGAATTAACAGGAGAAAATTAGACATACAAATTAAGAAGTAAACAATTTTTTTTTCACTGGTGGAGAAAGTCTCTCAAGAGTTTTTAGAATGACACAGTTAGAAAGTATCCCATACCAATTATACTCAAGAATGTGAGGGTTCGTGTAACAGCATTTCGTACTGGCAACAGTTTTTGTTGGTAACTTTCACAAGATATTTAGAGCAATTTTACCCCTAACAAATAAGCTAGGCCAAAGTCTATTTTTCAGGACCAACCTCCCTAAAAATCCACTCCACCCCACCCAATAGGCTGCCCAAAGTCCACCCCAGCTTCTAGGCAGGGCCATAATGGATTGAGTGAGGAACCGGCCCATTTGACGTCAGCCACTGACTAAGTTTACTAGATGATGTGTGGGAAACACTTGTGCGTGGGTGCTCGTTGCCGATAGCTTGTAGAGTTGGGCGCTATGTTGCATGCGCACTAACTAGGGCATCAGACTTGGGCCACATGGCGGGGCAATGTCCGTTGGATTTCTAACGGCTAGTTTCTGGACCGTTGGAACGGATTTCCAACGGTAAAAAAATTTGAATTTGAAATCTAACGACTAGTGACGTGGCAAAATTTAGACTATTTGATTTCTAGATCAACAATCTAGGTTTTTTGGCCAAAAAACACTTTAAAAGAAGGTAGAAATCTTACCGTTGGCCAAGTGTTCACTTTTGGACTATTGGATTTCAATCTTTTTGAAATCCAACAGTCCAGATTAATTACTTAATAAAAATTGTTAAAAATTTATTTAAAAATACAGAAAATTTTGAAAAAATTGGGTATTTTATTTAAATTGGTTAAGATTCTACTTAAAAATCTATTCAAAAAAATTGTACTGTCAAATAATAACATATGCGGTGACAAGATTGATTAAAAATTTTATCCAAAATTAAAAATAAAATTACTTATTAGTATTTTATAAAAAATTTAATAATATTTTAATAAAAATTGACTAGACTCTTGCCTAGCTCATTTTTTTAGAAATGGAGATGCACTTAGCCAATTATTGTTTATTGCAATCAATTATTATTTATTTAGGTGAATTAAATAAACTTTGGGCCGACTTATTTTTAGACCATCTCCAACAATGGGCTAAATGCCAAATTTCCCCCCCCAAACCATCTCCAACCCATGCTAAAACATTGGGCTAAATGCCAAATGTTAAAGTTGGGCCAAATACCCCCTAGATTCCCCCCCCCCCCCCTCGGCGCGACTGGACTCGCTGGCCCAAAGGCCAGTCTCGGCCCGCTCACTCGCGAATGCGCCCCACGCGAAGCGCTTGCAGTCCGTGTCCGACAGGGTGGGCCCCGCTGTCAGCGGGTTGTCGGCCACCCAAATGAACTCCAACGACTATTTTTGCAATCCAACGGTTGCGTTTCAAGGACCGTTGGTTGATCCAACGGTCCAGATTCAAATTTGATTTTTTAAAATATGTTATTTTAAAATACATTGAATCCAACGGCTGAGATCAAATATAATCAAATCTAACGGTAAAAAAAAGATCTAACGGCCCAAATTTAAATCTAACGGTTAAAATAATTAAAAAAAATTATTTAACTCAAAATTCACCCAAAAACTCTATAAATACCTATGTATTTGTTCAAACATCCACACAAAACTCAAATTTCTCTTACAATTCTTCCAATTTATCTTCCAATTTAACTCAAAATTCACCCAAAAACCCAAATCCATGTGTCGTAAGACGCCACAGCCTCGAGCACGATGGTTGGCTTGTCATGACGGCTCTTGAATTGGCCAGCCCAAGCAGTAGGACAATTCTTCCACTCCCAATGCATACAATCGAGACTTCCTATCATGCCAGGGAAGCCTTTTTTTTCTGCCTTGCGTAGAAGCCTCTTCAAGTCTGCACGATTTGGGTTGCGGAGGTATGTGGCTCCATATATGCCTTCAATTGCCTTATAGAAGCGCTTCAGGTTCTCAATAGCAGTACTTTCTGCAAGGCGGCAATACTCGTTAGTTGAGTCTGCAGAGCATCTATTAGCTAGCATGCGAAAAGCAAATGTGGGCTTCTGATGAGGTGATAGACCTTGTCGGCCTGTGGCATCTACCCTCCGTTCAAAGTAGTGGTCATGATTGACAACTGCATTCAAGATGCTTTCAAAAAGCTCTCTCCTCATCCGAAACCGCCTCCGAAAATCATGAGCAGGAAATCTCGGACGCTCGATGAAATAATCTTTCATCATTCGATCATGACACTCTTCTCTATCACGCTGCACATATGAACGTCCCGTGACAGAACCACGATGGCTAGATTCGCCATCGTGCTCAGATTGCATAAACGAGTTGATAAGTTCAACTTCAGCATTGAACAATTCTGCATCCTCAATCTCCATCATTGCTTGGTATTGTTCCATCTGCATTGCCATACTACGCATTCTTCTATCACCCATTGATGAGATATTGAGGATTTTTAGGAAACAAAAACTCTTTGAAAGTTGAAATATTGGTGAATATAGAGGATGATTGAAGGTTGAAAGGTTGTGTGATCAACAAATATTGGACATATGTTTATATAGAGGATGATTTCTGAAAGTTTGGTGGTGAATGGTTGGTGAAAGTTGAAAGTTTAGTGTTGAACAGTTGGTGAAAGTTGAAAGTTTGGTGTTCAACGGTTAGTGAATTGAAAATTTGGTGTTGAAAGGTTGGTGAATTGAAAGTTAGCCCAGGGTTGAAAGATTGGTAAAAGTTGACAGCTTGCTTTGTGGGAAATTCAGTGATTTTTCAATATTTATCGGAATTTAAATTTTTTTAGATTCAAATGTTTATAAAATTAATTTACGACAATCTACGTATTTATTTTTTAAAAAAAATTAATTTAAGAAAAAAATAGCCTAAGTTCATTCTTTAATAATCCCAGGCTAAAATTTTAGGCCAAAATGGTTGGAGTAGAAAAATTGTTTCTGGGCTAAAAGCTAAATTTTCCGAGCTAAAATATTTGGCTTTTAGTCCGACCATTGGATATGGTCTTAGGGATAGAGTTGCTTTTAAAATAGAACCAGGATCCTCGTCGGATCCATTCCCTAGGGATCTTAGGGATCATGCAATCGTGTATATTTATCGTATATCGTGCGGTCAGTTTTCGTTAGGTACTATTTATATTTGAATTTTAAATGATTTATGACCGCATGATATATGGTAAATGAACATGATTATGTAATCTCTAGGATTCCTAGGGAATGGATCCGGTGAAGATACTAGTTCCTTAAAATAGATCTAATTGTGGAAATTTTTCAGAACACAAGTAAATTGTTATTGTGATGTTACGTGTCATCGATTACATGAGCGGCACATTTGAGTTTCTCGCCAAATAATATTATGGCATTGACACCAGACGGCTGATATGAGGAAAAAGATTTTCGTCGGATCATTTTGTTAAGAACTTTGTGATCGTGATATATGATGAACGATCACGATTACTGATTTTCAGGATCCTGAGAAAAAAATTGAACCCGAAATAATTATGAAGATTAGAGTGATAGGACATGGATAGAAATCGGATCTAGGACTGAGAGCCTGGCAGGACCAGCATGAAGCCCAATAGGGTCGACTTCCAAAGTTTAAATGGGCTGCTTAGACAGGGTGAAGGTAAAAAGGAAAAGAGATCTCAACCAGCTGGCTTGAACCCGAAGCTCTTGAAGAAATGTATGTTTATTTATGGGAGGCAGATTGTTTGCCTTCCTGTTCCTTCTTGTTGGTAGAATCACAGTTAAATTATATCAATATTTTATATTCTTATTATTTTTTATCTTAATATTTTTATTAAAAAATTAATATAAAATATTAACATAATATAACCTTGATCACACATAATATGAAAAGATGAAAAAAGCATTCGAACAAAAGGCAAACAATCTGCCTCCTTATTTATGAGCTAGGGAAAAGATGTCAATTACTCCTAATTTACTTCCTGTTTCTGCAAACGTCAACTCAAACTCAGCTGATGCAGCTAGCGTAAACAAGATCTTGAAGAGATGTACAACTGTTTTTTCCTCAAAGTCTTGTGCTAAGTAAATAAATTCACCCAAACACTTGCTTCTCAATTGACAAATCAATGAGGTAAATGCTAACTTTGGTTAAACCCTAGATTTCAATTTTTCTCTCACTTGCTCTAACTATCTTGATGTTTCTTCTTGTAATTCTGGTCATGTTAGATAATCTCCTCAGGTCCTATTTATACTTAATAGGATTTTAAGTTACAATAAGAATTTCAATAAAAACCTAAGATCTTGTTTGACAGCTCGGATTGTATTGATTATTTCAGTAGGATATAATAAATAATCGGCTGATATTGACCAAAGTAATTGAACGTTTAGTACAGTATCAATCTAAAAATCAACTATTAATACTGCATTTGGTACCGCACGGAATAAGCAGTACTGCTAAATATCCTTATTAGTTTTACGAGAAAAATTGTTAATAAAATGAAAAAAAAGGAAAATAATGATAGAATAATTCACAAAGGGCACTGCCTTTAATTTGTCGTTCATCTTCTGCATAAAACGCTTTCTGGTTAATCTTCTGCAGACAACACGGATCAATTAAGGCTGTGTTTCACGACAAATCGAGGCACTGAGAAGGTGCGGCTTCAAGCGGAGACGACGGTCCAGCCACGTCGGCGAGGATTGACAGAGCTTTTGGCTCTTGAAGTTTTCTGGGAATCGATGAGATCTGCTCCAGATTCCGGCGAAAGGGCGGTTGCAGGTCGTTGCATTTCAGATCCTGTTAACCAAATCGATTAATTTGATTTCCATTGTGGTGGGTCGTCGCAAACGCCGAAATTGAGCCAAGAGCTGTAGGAATTTAGCCAATAAGTTGTCCAACCCTCAGTAATTTCACAGAATTTTATAGAAATTATGGAGTTCTAGAACTTAATTTGAAGTGAACTATAACTTCCCCAATAATTTCGGGCGGAACAGAGAAAAGAAGAAGAACGACGGCTGCTGAAGGACGACGACAAGAATGAGTCTTGCGAACGACGCGAGAGAGAGGAACGCGACGAGAGAAGGACAGAGAGGGAGAGAGCGAGCGTTGTTTCCCATAGGACTAATAATTTAGGGAGAATAAATTAACAGATGTGTACCGTATAAATCATGTGGGCCCGGTATAATTAATCCGGATGATATTTAGTAAGTAATAGCAATAAACACTCGAGTCTGTATTATTTATCTTATTCGATCCTTTAAACGGACTGCAAAACTAGGCCTAAACATTCAACCCCACAAATTAAATCCCCTTAGAAAACTTTTCCATTTGAAGTTGCTCGAGCCCATGTTGTACATGCTAATAAGTTATCACGAGTTAGGGTTGACAATATAATTTTAAACAAAATAACTCAACATTTAACAATTATCTACTAACAAATGAGCAATTGTTTTTAATATATTACACAGTGTAATAATTGACAATCATTCACACGAACGGCACAAATGTCTTTAGCATTTCTTGCTTAGTTAACAACACAAACTACATTTGGTGGTGGAATTGATACCAACTAAAGCGTAAAAAGGGTTCCAAATTGGGACCATGCATGAATGCAACCGTACCAGGTCGTTGGAAGAATTTAGTTCAACTGTGCTTCCAAATTGGATTGGACCAGAAATGAACAATGCAAAATTTTGAAATGGCGTTCGCTTTGTTGCTTCTCATCATCCCATCCTCACAAGTCACGAAGCCACATACATCCACTGTGGTACATAGCGATATTGCAGTTGACCTAAAAAGTTTGTAGCTAGCAAAGGGATCACTGTTTTGCCTAGAGGAAAATCCACTGATTTAAAGTCCTTAGCAGCCTAGCAGGAAAAGTACGAAAGAAATATGAGGAATCGTAGACTTTTGCAGAGTGACTGTGAGACAGACAGCGGTCTCCAATAGCTCTCCAAACTTAAATTTGATGTGCCCATTGAATTTGAATCCACTACGTGTAGGCTTACATGTCATAGCTTCTGACCCATCTTTTCTCTTTGGATGTGATATTCACGTCAATTTTTATTTTTTACACATTTTTTTTAATTTTTAACTATTAAATTAAATAAATTGAAGGATATTAAAAGATAAAAATTTATAAATAATACGTAAAAAGTAAAAAAAAAATGTGTAGATAACACACTTCTTTTCTTTTTCACTTATTCTTTAGAGCATGACTAAATAACCAGGGCAAGGATTTGGATCATTTTCCTATGAATCTTAAGAATTCTTAATCGTAATCGTAATTAAGTATTATTTATATTTAATTTTATTATTTTTAAATTTTTAAATAATTTCTCACAACACAGTTTATGATTAATCATTAAATCTCTAAAATCCTCAAAAAATAAAATCCGACGAAAATCTTTTTTCTTATAATTACTATTGTAACGTTTAATTTTAATAATAAAATATATTAACAATAATAATTATATTATTTATTTGAAACGTCATAATAAAAATATATATAGTTGCTCACTGGTCTCCAATCAGAGAACTTCCACTAATACACATCAAACCTTTTCAACTTTCAACCTCCATGACAAATAAAAATGAGTTCATCCTCTGGGAAATGCAATTCTTCAGGGAAGCCAACAAGAAGAAGGTTTACAACTAAAAGAGTTTCCAAAAAATGTGACGTCGATGCTGCTGAAATCAGGAGGCAGATTTTCCATGCCATACAACTCCATAGATCATCATCATCAGCTGCACCAGCAGCGGCGGCGCCACCACCACCTGTTTCTATGGGTCCACAGTTTGATTCATTGGTGGAGTCTATGCCTCTGCCTGGGCCGGTGTGGTCAACAACTGCACCTTCAGTATCGCCTTATGCTCCTTCAGCAGCCATGGAAGCCTTGGAATTTGAGTGGGGGGAGAGCCAAGCTGCTTCATATTCATGGTGGCTAGGGTTTCTGAAGACTTTGGATGGCAAGAATGCTGAGAAGTCAAACTACCCTTTGCCACTGGGGAGTTCTAATTGGTTGTTTGGTCAGAACCAGAACAGTAACTGTAAAGTAGGTGATCATCAAGAGACAGCTGCTTTGGTTGATGCAAATGATCAGAGCCCTTCACCAGATGAATGGTTGATGTTTCCAAATACAGAAGATGAGGGTGAGACTGTAATTCCCTAAGCTTAGAAATTTAGAATATATATGATCTAGCTACCTAACTGGATTTTGGAAATATAAAGCTTAAGTTCTTGGTCCATCCTTAACTCTGTGTTTCATATTTTGCTTAAATTTGAGGTGTAGATGATGATTGTGATGATACTGTACTTGTTTATTTTTAGTGCAATCTTCTACATGTTAAGGGAAATAAATTACACACGTCCTTCTCTTAGTGCACTCTTGCATTTGTCTTGGTTACCTTAATTTGTGGTTAAAAATGGCAAGTGCATAATGATAAGGGATGAGATCGAAAATCACTTCTCATATGTTAATGTGTCAAATACAATTTTCCATCACCATCCAATGATATATAGTATTTACAATAATTTTATA